AAGGGTGACAGAGGAAAGAAAGGAGGTAGGGAGGGAGAGGAGAGAGGGAGAAGAAAGTGATGGATAAGGTATAAATATGGTGTATGGAAAGCAGAAGAGCCAATAATTGTTTTGGGGAGTTGATGGTAAGGTGAATTGATGTAAATATTTAATAATACAATATGATGTTGGCTATGTAATAGTATACATGTGATTATATGTTATGAAAATGAAAAAATAAAAAACTTTATATAAAAAAATAAAAAAGAATATATTAAAATATTACAGACAGGTAAGTACTCCCATGAGCATGGAGACATTCTGTCTATTCAAAGCAGATTCTTGTTCCCATTTTTCTTTTCTGAAAACATGCCTGTTTCTCAACTTACATAAGATAAAGGGGATTTGCATTTTAAAGAAAATCACAGAAAGTAGTGGAAGAACAAAGTTAACAGAGACAACAACCAAATATCTCCTACTCGCTTGGTCTTGGGGTTATGCTTTGCTATTTGTTAATTCAGACTTGTTCTTCTGCAATTTCTGGATAATTGAGTTGCAGGTCATCCCTGACAAGGGCCAGAATGGAAAGTGTTGAGAAGAGGCAAATGGGAATAAAATTAAAACTCTTGATTTTAAGGGAAAAAATAATGTTAAGTTTAGTTTTTAAAACTGAATTATTAAAACATGTCTGTAACTCCCTACTAGTCTTTTGCTAGTGAAAAGCAATCTTTATTTTGATCAACTAATATTTGCAGACGAAACCAGCTTTGTACGTAACTGTCATCTTTTTTCTATCTGATGACAAGCATGATCACTTGAAACTCGACAGAACAGATGATTCTGTATTTCTTATTCTTTAAAATCAATGAAGCAACACCTCTTTTTGACGTGCATGAGAAGAGTTCTACCTTAGCAAGTCACCAAATGTTCAGCGCCAAAAGGCTTAGGCTTTTAAATCATCGAGACAAACAATGACTAATATTAACCGGACTTTTATTTCACATTGCAGATTTACGCCGAATGACAGCTGGTTTTATGGGCATGGCGGTGGCTATCATCCTATTTGGATGGATTATCGGGGTGCTGGGCTGTTGCTGGGATCGAGGCCTTATGCAGTATGTGGCAGGACTTCTCTTCCTCATGGGAGGTAAGGAGAAAACGAGTTAAAAATAAATGTTCCCTTTAGCTGCATTAAAATTTAAGGTCCTAGAAATCCCCTTTACTGTAATTATATAAATCAGCAGCAATGTGCTTAAAGTTTCCTGCAACAAAAGATTATTATACGTAGATATAGGTAGTCCTTACTTAACAACTGGCCTGTTTAATTTGAAATCATGGCAGTGCTGAAAAACTATGCAATGGGTCCTTGCACTTATGAGCATCACAATATTCCATGTTGCAATGGGTCCTGCTTGGGTTGAGAGGACAGAATCTGCTGCAGTGTTAGATAACAATGAAGATGGTTGATATGTCTATGGAGATTCTCAGTCATCCAGGTCATGGTTGTCCCAAAGGGACTTTTTCAAACGGCAGCTGAACTTTTCTTTGTTTTTGCTTTGAAGACATTTTGCTTCTCATCCAAGAAGCTTCTTCAGTTTCAGGACTGAAAAAGCTTCTTGGGTGACAAGCAAAAACAAAGAAAAGTTTGAAAAAGCACCTTTGGGACATGAAGTCAGCCACAGTTTTGAGATGAGTGTGGTGGTAACAGGAAACTTCTGATTTTTAATAGTCAGAATAATATATTTTTTAATTGTGTTTGTTTAAAAGAACAGTGAAAGGGATATAATATGCTGAGGGTTTCAGTGAGGTATATGATTTTGCACTTTTGACTATCAGTGGATGGAACGTTACAAAGATGATCCTCTTTGTACATGGCAATCCTCTTTATGACCAGTACAAGTGATAATTCCAGGCTCAGTTAAAGTCTTAAGTCAAGGACTACCTGTAGCTTCTAAGTAGATCGTCATCTTTAAAACTCAGGATCTGGATCTTTTCAAGGTTACCTTTTTCAAATTGACTTTACCTATCCAGAGAGACTTGTGAAGGTTATCACAACAGTGGTGAGTTCCGGATCCCGTTGCAACGGTGCCAGGCGTCCACCACATGTACATGCGCAGCATGCGCGCATTGCACACATGCGTACTTACTGCCTGTGATGCTCTGCAATGCTCCAGCTGCTCAGCGGAGCATCGCACAGGAGCCTTATGCTCCGTGCACGTGCATGGAAGCCCCAATCCGTTCAAATACAGGTAAGGAGGGCGGGCGGGTGGACCCTCCAGAGCACCATATTGGAACGGTACCTGGTGCTCCCAGCAGGCACTGGTACACCTGTACCGGGCCATACCATCCCACCATTGCATCACACCCAAGGGGATGCCATCGAGAGAGAGTCTACAGGACAGCCTTTTTGGGGATGGACCAGATAGACAAGCAATTCTCTCCTTATTTCACTTTCAAAGAGCTCTAGAATTATGGTTCTTCAGAAAAATATTTAGACATGATTGAATCTGGCCCCTGCTCCTCTCAGCCCATCTGCAGTAAATCTCTATGTCTCTAAGGAAAAGTGAGATGAGTTTTCATTAAACCAGAGCTTAGCACTGAATGTTTGTACCAAATCTCTGCTTGTTTCTGTAATACTGAAGTACAGACTAGTCAACCCCATTTAAACCTAGCATGCCATGCCAGCCCAGCATGTGGGGTTTAATTTATAGTTCGCTGTGCCATAGCATTGAAGAAAATTGGGTCTGAATGTATTTTCCTCGTATTGGATTAGCAATTTGTGACCTCAAACAATACCACTGGTAAACCAAAGTTTGTAACCTACTGCAGTCTGCAAACTCAGTCAATAACTGGAGAACCAGGATGATGTTGATTGTTTCCTAAAAAATATCCAAACATCAAGAAAGAATTGGTAGACAATGGGAGAAATCACTTTTCGACTTCTACCATGTAATTATAAAAGGAAGTAAATGAGATCTCTTTGAACTTTAGGATCAGTTTCAAATTGGAACAGATTACTCTGGTTTATCTTAATGGATGTCCTTCAGAGATAATGGAGTTCAACACATATTAGCTAGAGCAGGGGTGTCAAACTGGATTTCTTCGATGGCCAGATCAGCATTGTAGTTCTCCTGCATGGGCCGGGGATTGGGAGCTGTGGAGGAGATGGGACAGACACCTCCTGCAGCACCTTGCTGGCCAAAGTGGGGCATAGGGTGCATGTGCAGACCCCCCATGCCCCCATTTTCAGTCTGGATGGCCTCCTGCAGCACTTTGCTGGCCAAAGCAGGGCATGGGATCTGTGCACAGTTCTCCAAATCTTATTTTTGGCCTCCATGGCCTCCTGCAGGACTTTCCTGGCTGAAAACAGGCCACATGGGGCCTTGCAGGGCCTCCTCCCCATGGCCTGTTTTTGCCAGCAGAGGTGTCACAGGCCAGTCCTTTGATATTTTGAGGCTGGCCCCATGGGCCAGATTTAAGCACCCCATGGGCTGGATCTGGCTCACAGGCCTTGAGTTTGACATTCCTGAATTAGAGAAACCTACCTATAGAAAGCATTGGTTGAAGATTGTAGTCCAAACCTGGCAGGTACCAGGTTTAGAATATTTTGAGGGGCTTTTTTTCCCCATCACTCAACCAACCCAAAGTTTGCAGCATGAAGGTTAAAAGTTTCTTGCATCTCTCAGGAACAGAAGGTAGTTCTGCTAGTTCAGAGGTGGGTTGCTCCCGGTTTGGCCCGGATCGGGTGAAGCAGTGGGAGGCTCCACCCACCTGCCGGGTGCTTCTGCACATGCGCAGAAGTATTAGCGCACGGAAGCGCAGCCGAACTGGTAGTAAAAAAACTTGGCAACCCACCACTGTTCTAGTTATATAGCTATGGTTTTGTTTCCAGTTGATGCTCTAGCACAAGACTCCCCATGTGAGCTGATTTTAGTCTCATTGACTTTAAAACTCCATGCAGCCAGCTTTAAAATATTGATGGCTTGTATTCAGTGTGTTGCCTGAATCGCTTTTGCGGTTAATAAAAAAGAAAGGCAATTATTGTGGAGCTTTGTTTGCTTGTTTGATTTTTTAGAGAGCTTGATATTTTGACCATCTGATGAAAGATGATGTCAGTACAAACATATTAGCTTCCTGGCTATTTTTGACAAAAGAGATCGCTGTCGACTCAATATCAAGCAAACAACAGACTAAGAAGGAAATGCCAATGTTTTCTTCATAGTCAATTTATTTGATGTTTGCTATAATATTTCTGGAGTGCAGCTGAGGTAGCTTTGATATATGACATGGCTACAAATGATTAGCTCTAGTAACTTACTACTATCTCTTTTCTGAAACAAAATATTTTCCTTCTATTTAACTATTCACAAGTACTGGTTATTAATGCAATATTAATCTATCTCAAAGGCATCTCATGAAAGTCTTCCAATTTCACCTGTTAAAGATCCTTGTCAAATATTTTGGCATAGAATAATCTGCCACTAACAATGACTAAAGAAAATGAAGGGCACTTAAGTATATAATAAAGGCAGAGTCATTTAAGAATCTGGTTAACTGGGGGATTTTAGCAGATACAACCTTTCTCCCGTCAAAATCCTCTCTTTTGTTACATAAGGATGCTGCTTTCATTTACATTTAATAACCCTAAAAAGGCAGTAAAATAACACTATTGCAGCTCTTCTCATGCCAAAGTTCAACTACCATCTTGTATGAATCCAGGCATTATGGTTGGATTCTTAAACTATGGTTATTTTTAATGAATCATTGTGGGAATGCAGCTTGCTTGCATGCTGTACTTAGACACAGATTCATATATGTGTTTGACTGTCAGGTTTCTAGGAATTCTCTAACATTTTTGGATCTCAAAATCCAAATCCAAATCCAAAAATGCTAGATGATTCTTGGAAAAACACTATTCAGCCGAATCAGCCATCAATTGACATATTGAAATGAACAACATTTGCACATTATTCAAAAGAGTCAATAATAAATCTAGGAAGGGGGAAAAAACTACAACACATCTCCAGCAGCCCACATTCAGATAAGCAGGGATCAAGACCAGGCAAATAACCAGGCAGAAAATAAGATTCTAATCAAGAAATGACCAAAAAATAAACTACATCCTAACCAAAATTGGCAGGACAAGCTAACTGCATATTAAAAAGCAGCAAATCTCTCATTCACTTGTGATGATGATGTTACCTAGTTGAGTAACAAAAGGTCCACAGATGAGCAACCAAGCTTAGAAAAGCACCAACTTCACAGTTCAACTCTAAGCTACAAATATTCACTTCTATTGGATTTTTCCCTGCCAGTTCCTATTACTCAGCATAACAAGGGTTTGAACTGAACATTGAATCTGATTATATCAAGGGATTTGTCAAAATGAATCATTTGTCAGCTATTATCTCATATTCTCACATCTAGAATCCCATGGAGAGGGTGCAGTGCCTTAGGATGTGTTACCCATTGGCATACAAAAATGTCTATGCAATGAGATTTAAAATAATTGTTAAAATAATATGCCTTCCTTAGTTCAAATTACAACCTTGGGCAATAAGTGAGATGGTTTCTCAAATGTTGCCCATTGATAGTTATAAATTCCTTTGCTTTTTCAGTACAGAATTTATATTTATTTACATTGGCCCAATACAGCAATTAGGAACTTCCTTTGCAAATCTCTGAAATAACTTGCCTATGCAATTTCTAGTATTTTAAGAGCAGTTCATCATTTGGAATCTATCTATATAGAAAATCATGCCCTATATTTACAAGGTTTGTGTGAACATGCATTTTATTTTTGGGGAAAAATTAATACCCAAAGCTGAAACTTAGCTGAAATTAAGAATGAATACAGTAACTCTGGTTTTTGGATTTGGTGAAGTGTATAGGACAGTGTTGGTGAACCTTTTTGGCACTGACTGCTGAAACGGGAGCATGCACATGTGGGAGGAGCATTAAAAACTGGAAAAGCCGCTCCCCGGGGCGCACATGTGGGAACGCCAGAAATTGGAAGACCAGTTCCCCAGTGTGCATGTTTGTGCTGGAAACTGGAAGCTCAGCTTCTTGATGCACTCAAAGACCAGCTGTGCATGCGAACCTGAAAAAGCAACGGGCGACAGCTGCCATTCCCAGAGAGATGGCTCT